TCCTTGCGTTTGGTTCTCCTTTTGGATGTGTTATCATATCTTCTGAAAAAATCTTTTCCAAAGTGAATTATTGAATTTTATTTTCTGGATGCTGATAAAAATTATTCAGTAACTTGATCAGACGATATGGGATGATTCGCATATTGTGTGAATCTCATGGTGTGTTTGTAATGGCCCTCATTTGTTGTTTAGTATTTTATACAAGAAATATCCATTATTTGCCTAATGAAAAATGTGGCTTTTATTGGCATAAGAAAAATAATGGAGTAAACAATAGTCACAAATTTTGCACATTCAAAAAAATTTAGTATAGAAAATCAAAAATTAATTACTTGTCCATTTGGTAAAGACAGTTGAAGTCAAAACAGAAATGAGATTATTTCAATAAAATTAATTTGTTCTGTTATTGAAGGACCTACTTTACGCAGCAAAAAAGTAAAATATTTGAGAAAAGTATGAACGAATACATATAAAAGAGGCACAAGCACATCTTTCTTTAGAACTGAAGGAAAAGAACACACTTTTCGAAAAGGTTAGCAAATTACTAATGAGAACAAAAGTAGAAAATTTTCAAATTCATATAAATATTCAGCATTAAGATAGTTTAGTGCTGCATAAAAAAACATAACTTACATGATGAGTAGTACGAAAAATGCTTGGCGATAAACAAAATACTAACATAAAAAAAAGTAACATCCATTTACGCGTAAACAAATCTTTCTTTCGTTTAGAAAGAAACAGGAAAAAGCTACAGATCTTTAATCACAGTAAATATTATTAGTCTTATCAGAAAGACGAAAACGAACTTTCGTTAGCAAAGTACGATATTAATGAATCTTTAATTTTTTCAATAGAGTTTTCACTGCAACTTCAGCGTCAAATGTTGGTCTTGAAAACAATAAATAGTCAACAAATTGATTACTTTTTCTTGTAGCGCCATAAAATTCAACATTGAACACGTGGTAAAGTGCTGCCCATATAATTAAAGCTTCAACAGAATTCGGCGTAACAATGACATGCGTTCCATCCAAACCGACTTTATAATAAGTAACAACATCTGTACACAACAAAATCGACGGCCATGGTCCGTTTGGTTCCTAGATAAAAAAGAAAATAGGGAGACTATCGAAAAACGCAGATTGGTTGTGCTTACTTTACTATTGCTAATGAGATATTGTTTTGATTCTTTAAATGAAGATGTAATTACCGATAAAAATTTTACACCGATGGGATCTAAAATGCATAAGACGTTTGTGAAAGCTTAGTTTTTTCTTCAAACGCGGTTACCAGTCTCATTATACAGTAAATTATTCTTCGTTTGTTGAATTTTTGACACAACATCCAGCAAAATACCAGAAATTGCATCTGCTGTTTTGCTCGTGAGTGACATTAATGCTACTTCTTGAAGAAACTAAAACAATCACAATCTACATTGTTTCATGAGAACACACACGAAAGTCTGCTTGACTGACGAACTTACAACAGGTGGATATTTCATTGCAGGAAACTCTGTGAAAAAATCAGATACACTTTTACCCGACTTTAAAAACTTTCCTCTGTATTCAAAGGTTAATCGACTTTTTACAAGTAAAACATCCATTTTCTGTGGATCTGAAGAATCAGCTAGTATCTTCATGTCACGGATATGGTCTCTCGACGTATGATCATCATCTAACTCTGCCCTTGTTGAGTCACTAAATGGACCCTAAATGAAAAAGAACAGTACTTTAACAAAACATACTGATAAAAACAAATAACTGTCAAATTCAGGAGATCATGATATAAGAAA